CTAAAACAATCACGGCCCTCGTCCTTTCCTTGTTTTTTCATTCTTTAACGTAAACAACACGATTTGCCAATTGAAAATAGCACCTTTTGCTTTCCAGTTTATATGCAAAACTAAAAATCTTCGTCATATTGTTGAAAACTTGAATTAAGTTTTGGAGTATTGAGCGATTAATACATATTGAGGTGGATTATTTCAGTTTCTTTGTGGTTTCTCTAATCAGATTGTTGCAATTTGTTTATTGTTTTGGACACAAATTATGTTAGGTATGTCGCCATTTGAGGTGTATTATTTCAAAATTGCAACCATTATTGCTTTATTATATTTCACGCGCTAACATCACCTCTTCTTCGATAATTGAGTTGAAGTCAATAATGCCACAAATTTGTTTAATGCTGCCACTTGGGGTGGGGTGAATAATTTATTTATTTTATTCATCCAACGTATTGATATGTCCTTTAAAACCATTTTTTATTAATTATATTTCACGCTAAACGTATCCTATGCTACAAATTTGTTTTATGCTGCGACTTGAGGTTATTGTCATGTAGTAGACCTAATAATTTGGACCAAGCTTTATGAATTAGCTCGAATTCATCAAAAAAAAAAAGATTGAGTTTGACTTATGAACTTTATCAAAAAATAAGATATTTTAAATTAGGCTTGAATTGAGCTGGTTAGGGCTAGGCTTGACATATGAGCTTCTTTGAAAAGGTGAAATACGTTAAGCCTGATGTGAATAGCTCGGTTGGAATCGAGCCCAGCCCTAATAACCCTAGTCTGCTCAAATTACTAGTTCTGCTATGTACTTTAAAATTCCAATCATTTTTATTTATTCTACGCGTTAACTTACATATCCCTTGTTAATTTAGTTGTGGAAAATTTAATTTTTTGCTAATTAGTCACTCACAGATCCCCTATTGTAAATAATACGTGTTGCCCATGGAAAATTAAAGGAACAGTTGCTTTTCAAATTATAAAGAAATAAGGAAATCTTCGTGAGAAGCGTTTTGTTGAAATAAAAGATGAATCCTATACATGTGAATAGTTACATTACATTAAGTTTGATCATGATGTTCAAATTGACGAAATTAAAAAATAGGGAAAAAAAACCTGATAGTGAAGATATTAAACATGAGTTTTATAATACTATATGACTAGTCATGCATATAATCTACAATTTGATTTCTAATTAAATCATCTACACATCCATCTCTGACAAAGATGCTATAACTAAAGTTAAGGATGGATACTTGTCTGTTTGGAGGGGAAAAAAACATTAAATGTGTTAAATTTTACATTTATACAGCATAATATTTGGAGAATTTTTTATTTGTGTATATATTATAGGCATAAGTTATCTAATTTGACAATTTTATGTTCATCTCCAAAACCACAAGTTCTATATTAAGTTACTCGATCGAAGTGGATTATTTTATGACTCCATCATACTTAATTTTAAAAAACACATTGTGCTGTCTTCTTTTGTTTCAGCTACGTCTGTTTTTTCTTATTTTTAGCCATTGAGCCTCATTGTATATTATACCAAAAACAAACTAATATTTGTTGAATAGATCCTAATAACATTATTGAATGAACTTGCATCTAAATTCAATTTCAATTTTTTTTATTTATTTTGGCTAAACTACACAAGACACCCATGAACCAGACGTACAAGCAACCCTTTAATCTTTAAAACTTAAAAATGAACTCCTAAATTTTCAAATCTCCATGAATACTGCCTAACCATTAATTATATATCTTAAATTTTAGTTTTTTTCACATATATTTGACCCTCTTAAACTTCGTGTTATACGTATAACGTCCTAACCGTGACCATCAATTATTGTCGCACCCATATTGTGATCTCTCAAGAAAAGAAAATCAATAAATATAGGAGTCGCCATCAAAATTTTAAAAGATAATTTTGAAAACCTTTTAAAAAATAAAATGCTTAGAATAGGATTCGGGAGTTGGTTATGTATGGAGAAGGTGTTAGGCACCCCATATCACCTGTTCATGAGAACGGTTATCCTAATTGACTAAACAAAATTAATATAGCCTTAAATGAAATTTAGTTACCATTAATTAATAAAAAAGGAAAAAGAAGAAAATTATAATTTAAAAAATTATTTATTTACAAGTTGGACTTGACCTAGAATCTAAGGCCTATGTACCCTTTATAGGGATCAAAACCCACGTAGTTCGAGAATAAAAATGTGTGTTGGTTTGTTAGTATTTTTTAGAAAAATAATTTTTTATTTAAAAAAGATTTTTAATTACATTGGTATCTTTTAATTAAAGAAAAAAAAACTTATTCCTTTATTTGATAAAGGATTTTTTTTTCAAAAAATAGATTGAAATTCTAGTAGAGATTTACAAAAATCTCACATGAAAATTAATTTATTTTATATTTATGAAGATTTCAAAATCTCACATAGCATAGAAATCATTTTTTGACCTATCTATATTTATGAAAAAAAAAGGCTCTGTCTTTTTTTTAAGAAACAAATCAATTAAGAATCATGATTATTGTTCTTGTGATGGTCCATTGCCACACACGGCATACCAATAAACTAGTTACTTGCGAAAACTCTAAAAATCTCACATGGTATAAATAAAAAAAAATACAATATAAACACAAAAGTCGCAAAATCATATGGTGTAATGTGTGCTAGAGAAAGGCATAATAATATAAATGGTTTGTAAAAAAAAAAAAAACTAACCAAGAGATCAAACCTTTGGAGATTTACCACTTGTCACAACTTAGATAATTATTCCAATCATCTCCATCTTCTAACAAAAGAAATAACCAACCAACACATGTGTTTAAGTGTATGTGTTTGCTTGTTAGAACAAAATCACACACACATATATTTTATTTACACGAATGAAAAGCCATACTTGGGATAAAAAAAATAAAAAAATGATACTGATGGTTCACATAATTGAGAGGAGAAAGAAGAAGAAAAATAAAAAAAAAAGAAAAGGAAACAAGAGAAAAATAAATAAAGGAATGGAGTTAAAGAGGGCCATGTTGACTTAAAATCAAAAAGAGAGAAGAATGAAAAACATACATATATCCATGTCAAAAGGATGCTTCACGTACAGGACACACAAGACATAAAAAAAATTGATACACTTTCGAAAATGAGATTTAGAATAAGGTGGTGAAGGAAAGAAGGGGAAAAAAAAAAAGAGTGAGTCAGGAAGAGGAGAAAGGGAATGCGACGCAGGGGACCCATATGAATATATATGAACACACACACAGCAATTTTCGAAGGGGAAAAATGGAAATAAAAAAGATCATCAAAATCATTATTAATCTTATACCTTTCAGCCTTCAATATTTTTAAAGATCATACATGTGATCTCAAATGAGAGAATTGGTTTTCCTTAGGGTATTAGAATAATGAACAATTAGTATTATTTTATCTAGAGGATTGGCTTTCCTTAGGGTATTAGAATAATGAGCAATTAGTATTATTTTATCTAAAGCATCCCTGCCCAATCCTAACATTATATTATAATGAGTGGAGATGATGCAAGAGGACAAATATTCTCAATCTTTACAACAAACTCTCTCAAACTCTTTTATTTGTTGCCTCCTCTTTTTTCTTCTCCTCTTTTGCCTTAATCACCATCCTTTTATAGATGAAAATTAGGGCTTCCCATTTTAATGGTTGAATCACATCAAATTTCAATTTGTGATTAATTTTATTTGACTTTACTATTTTAAATTAAGGCACAATTTTGAGGATTGAATTTCTATTTGACTTCCCCTAATTGAAGACTCATATTAAGTGACAAATTTGGGGATTTTTCATTTAATTCTTATTTATTAATTTCGTTTTTTTATTATTTTATTCAAAAAAGGCTCTTTAATTTTTTTTATTCCTTGATTTTTTGTGAGTGCCCAGACAAAATGGGGTGTTCACAATTGTATTTTTTTTTTCTTTTCCACTCCTTTTGTTTTGCCTAAGACCTACTTTTCTTGTTGGTTTGTTTACTAGCGTTGATGAGCAATGCGTATGTGAAAAGTCAGAGAACCTCACTTTCTTTTTCAAAAAAAAAAAAAAAAAACAAAGAAAGAAAGAAAAAAATCTGCAGGATATTTTAGGAAAAATATTTATCATCTTCTAATTTGGTGGACTAATATAGGACATGGTTAATAATTTTTCACGTTTCCCTTCATTTACATAAATTTGAATAATGGATTGAATGCACTTGCACCCAGAATCAAGTTTTATTGTCCAACAAGTTGCTATTTGTTTCTATGATTTATTGTAAATATTAGAAGTTCTTCGTTACTTCTCTAGTATTCCTCCAGCAACTTTATGAGACGACCCCTTCATTCTCTGCCTTCAATCTTCATCCATTCTAGATGACTTCATTATTTATTTGTTTCTATTATTAATATATTAAAATTTATTTGTTTTAATTTGATTGAATAAAAATGTACATAATTTTTTTAAACATTGTACAGTATTTTTAACGTTCATATATGAATTTTTTATATATTATTTATTTTATGATAATATTTTATTATTAATATTATTAGTACATTAAAATTTATTTATTTTAATTTAATTAGATAGAAATATATTAAACATATAAAGATAAGCAAACAAATGTCTTCTTAAAAAAACTGTAATTAAATGCGTGTATTTTACGCGTGGGTCTGTTGAGACCGTGGGTGCATGGCAAATGATTGTACTTTTTCCTTTCCCACTTATCTTTACAGCTGTTTACAACTATTTCGTATATTCCTCACTTTCCCAGAATTTTCTTGCAAAGTGAAATCAAACGTACTACCAAGCTAATATATATATATATATATATATATATTTGTGTAAACTACTAGCTAGCTATTTTTATTTACATAGCAACCTATCTAGCAGTTGGTTTAAAAAAAAAAATTCGACCATTAAATTTGCTCCATATATTCCACAAAAGAATGAACTCTAGTGTAGTATATTTCTTATGCCTAAAAAAAAAAAAAACGAACTCATTTTTCTAGTATAATTCTTCAGAAAATTCAAACATGCTAGCTACCAAACTTCCATTCTTCAGTCAATTAATGCTACGTTGCAATTAATTTCCACTTGTTAGGATGATTGATCTACATGTTCTGAACTTATACGGGTTCGTTTTACAGCCCTTGTGTTTTGTTATTTCTGAGAACATTCTTGTAAATGATTCATACTTTCTATAATCAATTAAAGATGTTCGTTACTTTTCTAACACCCCTTCATTATTCTCTGCCTTCCATTTTCATCCTTTCCACATGATATCATCCAGACGCAGAAAAGCAAATCTAGCCGCCTCCTTTCTTCCTCTTAGTTGCTTCGCTTCGACCTTCTTTAGATTTTGCTGTTAGTCAACTCATTCAGATCTTTATCATTTTATTCTTCTACAGGGTACGTATATCATCTCTCCTCACATTTCACACTGTAACTCAGATGTCAATGTTTTCTATTGCCAGCACAAGCTAGCCGTCATGACAGGACGAGCATCAACCTCTTCTTCATTCCAATATCATTTCACCTATGATGTTTTTCTCAATTTTAGAGGTGAAGATACTCGTCATGGTTTTACAGGAAGTCTTTATCATGCTCTAACTCAAAAGGGAGTTTACACCTTCTTTGATGATGAGGAAATAAGAAAAGGAAATAAAATTACACCAACACTCCTCCAAGCAATCGAAGAATCTAGGATTGTCATTTGTGTATTTTCTAAGAACTATGCTTTCTCAAGATATTGCCTCGACGAACTCATTCTGATCTGTCAGAATATGAAGGAAAAGGGACAACTAGTTTTTCCCATTTTTTATGATGTGGATCCTTCTGAAGTGAGACGTCAAAAAGGGAATTACGGACAAGCAATGACTATGCATGAACATAATTTAAGGACTTGTGAAGAGAGGATACAAATGTGGAAGGTTGCACTATTTGAAGTAGCCAATCTTTCTGGCATATGTCTCGATCCTAGGTAATTCTCACAACTTATATACCTTATTTTCCTTCTTCATTTTTACCTAGCTAGCTTTATATATATATATATATATATTACAAATTTTTTGCATATAAAGGATGAATTTAATTTGACGTGACATAGATTTTTGTACTTCTCCAGGCACGATTATGAATATGAAATCATTGAAGTGATTGTGAAAGAAATACTGTGCAGAATCAATAAGGTTCCTTTACATGTTGCAGAATATCCAATTGGATTAGATAATCATATGGATGAATTATACTCTCTATTACAACGTGGGACTAATGATCAGGCCATTATGGTAGGAATTTATGGAATTGGGGGAATAGGTAAAACCACATTAGCACGCAAATTATACAACTCAATAGCACATAGTTTTGAAGGTTTGTGTTTTCTCCATGATATCAAAGAAAATTCAAGGAAATATGGATTAGAAAGAATGCAAGAGAGAATGCTTTCAAAGATTTTAGGAGTGGACATAAAAATTGATGACGTTAATGAAGGAGTTGCAATAATTAAAGAGAGATTTAGACGAAAGACAATTTTGTTGATTCTTGATAATGTTGATGAACAAGAGCAATTACAAAAATTTGCTGGCCATTGTGGCTGGTTTGGTTCTGGGAGTATAATCATTATAACAACAAGGGACAAACATTTACTTAAAAGACATGGGGTTGAAAGAACATATGAGATGGAGGCACGCACTGATGAAGAATCTCTTCAATTATTAATTTGGAATGCCTTCAAAAATACACAAGTAGGTCCAAGTTATAATGAAGTCATGGATCGTGTGATACCCTATGCCCATGGTCTTTTATTAGCAAAAACAGAACCAGAACCCCCGATTTCAAGTAAGAAGGATTTTAATTATTATACATTCTAATTTTCTATCCACTTAATTATATATGCATGCATGCATCTCAATAATGATGGTCCTTCTACAGAAGAGCAACCAATGCTAAAAAAGAGGCGGTTGGTGGAAGATAACCATATTATTTCAGTAAGTTCTTATAATTTTTTTGAATTTGTATTTTGTTAAATTACTTTACATAGCCTTTACCTTCCATATTAATTAATTAACTATATTTCAATTTATTTGATATTTTACATTCAGGATTCCATCGGTGTTGACCAAGGTGATGCTCTTGTCAAGTTCCTTGCCAATTTCCTTTCAAAGTCTTTCTTGATTAGCTAATATAATATTCTTTTTCATCCCACACACAAAAAAAAAAAAAGGAGAACCAAGGTGATGCTCTAGTTCTCTTTATTTTTCCGAAAATTATGATTAGGATGCATCCAACTTCCAAAAAATTTAATGGAACAACCATATCCATCCTTTTATTTCAAGTAAATTTCTTGCAGTGTTGATCAAATTCTAGAATGTTGTGAATGTATGTGTATATTCCAATTTATCTTTCACATATTTTTGAAAACAATGATATTTAGTTCTTTTAATATTTAACAGAAACAGAAGAAGAAACCCATGTTTCAAGTAAGAAGGATTTCCATGGCAATACTCTACTACTACAAGTAATTAAGCTCATTTAGATTTATTAGATTTTTAGTGGATTAGTCTATAAATGTTGTTGACTTTTCACAAATATTATGTAGGAAATTGAATACGAAAGCCAAAAGCAAACAATAGACATTCAATCTCCAAGTACAGAAAATGAAGAATCAGTTCGAGTAAGGAGGCCAAGTAAGAATATGACACATCAACAAGATGAAGCTTCAATCAATGATCAAATCACGGAGAGCTTTGAAAATGTCATAAGTGGCAGAGGAAAAGACATGGTACTCTACAAAAATGATCCCATTAATGGCAACAATATAACAAAGGTATACATTGTAATTAATTACATATTATGTTGAAGACTAATCAGGAAATTTTTTTACAGGTATTTTTTCAGGTGAGGGATTAGGAAATACTACTAGTTGATTAACTTTTTTTCCCCTCATTGCATGTTTAGATGATCGGACAAGACTACGTATATGACTCAAATAGCAAAAGCAGCATGACATGGGATCCAATGGAATGTGAATATGAAGAAATAAGTCATAATAATAATAAGGATCCACATGAGCAGAGAAGAGATCATCCATGGTTTTTGTGTTTTAATCTATTGACTTTCGTAGCCTCGCTCTGTTCTTCTTCTTAATCATATTTCTCCATTACAAGAAACTAAAATGAATTATCATTGGACTCTTTAATTTGAACTCCTTTGTTAGATATAAATTCTAGGCTCTGGACTTTTGTAATGGTTTTGATTTCCTCATGTTTTGATGGCAAATTAGTTAAGATTTGGCTCATTTTAATTCACTGAAAATTGTTTCATGCAGAAACCTTATTCACATGATTTGCATTACAACTAGCACTATTGGGGAGCACAGACTACTTCCTTGATCTCACTAGTAACAGTGTCGATGGAAGAAATGGTATCATAATTTTAAAATTAAAAAAAAAAAGTCACTTACATCACTTCTAAATGGATGTGATGATAGGCTATATTTAATAAAGGCACGTTTATTGAGACCAAAAACTAAAATTGGGCAGGGCAGTCCAAATAAGCAATTTTCTTTTTTATGACTACAATTTTATTTCCCAAATATGCTTACACTGAATACGCATGCCTTATCTTTATATATATTCAAAGACTTCAGAATTTAGAGTTGCCACTATTTACGTAATGATACTAATGGAATTATTATAATGTTGAATTCATGCGCTGAAAAAAGAACTCACAAGCCACATATTCTTTGGGAATCAAGTTAGGTAGTGTGAAAAGCCAATAAACACCAAATCAAAGTGGCCAATGATATATCAAATAAGTAATTAGAATTAAAAACATGATTTTGATCCACATGAGCCAATACCAAGACATTAACCAGAGAGTTTGGTTGACACCTAGCCTTAATTGAAAAAGGGAGACCAACATAGACAGCCAGTGGGGCAAGAACATAGCCACTACAATCTAGAAGGCTTAAACATGGACTAAAGTAACCTAAAGGAAAAGACAAATAGACTCAAAAAATAGCAACAAAAAAAAACAATAGCTTTCAATTCTCCTATGGAAAAATTACAACCAAGGATTGTTGGATAAAGATATTCACAGTTGAGGACCAATTGAATTTGAAATTGCACTGCAATTTGGGAAGCCCTAACTAAAATTAATTCGCACTGAGAAAAGATGAAAACGCCCCTGTAATGGAAAGAAAATGAATCATGGAACTTAGCTGAAACTTTACTGTTCATGCAAAGACATTCAGAGGCTCAGCTAGTGTGAGCTAATAAGTTAAAAATTGTAAATTTCCTTCCTCCATCCCTGTCTTCCTTATTGAACTAGTTTTGCATCATTTCTTTTACCTAACTTGTATTTGGTTCTGTTTTCTACGTATCATAGGCTTGTTGTTGAGATACTTGAAGAGATAGGCAGTTAAATCTAAAGTCTATGGTGTCATTAGTATAAATGATTTAGCCCTGAATAATGTTAGCTATGACATTCTTGATTACAATATATACTTATGAAATCGAAGAAATGCATTTAAGGTGGGAAAAAAGTAGCTAGGAGTCTGGCATAAATAATGGCATCCAGTAGCATTAATCTATCTCATTTAATGTGGGTCTCTCTTGGCAATCATAGCAGCTTTCTAGTCTGATGTGGAATGTTGTGTTATAAATACAATAGCATGTTGTTGTTAAAATGGTGATTGTAGTTGTTATTTTATGATTTGGTTATGTTTTTCTTGTTAAGCTATTGTGATAGCTCGAAAGAAAATTGTAGAGGTAAGAAACTTTTTTTTATAAAATAGTAATAATATGTGGTTAATATTAGAATTGTAGTTGTAAATTAAAAAGTAGAATAAAATTTAGTTAAAATCTGGGACTATTGAACTCTGTGTTGTTAAGATAGTAATAAAATATTATTGATATTTGAATTGTAATTGTAAATTCAAAAATAGAGTAAAATTTGTTTGATATGGTTGCAGGGTGACATGATAGATGGGAAGCAATAGTAGAAAGGGATTATTTGGTTTCATCCAGTATGGGGGAGTTTGTGAAGGAAATGTCAAATATGATGGAGGGAATGTAATTGCTAGAATAATAACAGAGGGTATGACATATAATGAATTTAAAAGATTGATATTAGCTAAAATGTGTCTTAGAATTAAAGAGATAGACCTAAAGTTTAAAGTGAATATCAAAACTTCCACAACCATAATGATAGACCTTGTAGATGATGTTGGAGTGGCACAACTTATTGAGTTTAATGGCAATAGTGGTCATGTTTATGTTGGTGTAAGGTCAAGTGACATTACACAATCATCACTAATTGACTGTCCTCAAGAGTAAGTAATAAATACTAATTTTCAAAATCAATTTTATTGCTTTAAGCCTCGTGACATTTAATATAGAGCCTTAATTGTTTGAATGCAGCATAGGTAATGTCTAAGAAATTTATGAAGCACCTTCCACTTATGAAACTGAATGGAAATTTGATATGTTAAGCTTACCACCTCCGATTCAAACCTTGAGAGCATTCTTTGTTGAGTAAACTTTAGCTATGGAAAGAATTCTAGTTCCAATGCCAAAGATGAATGCAATGATTTGCTTATTAGTATAGGATAGACATTCCTTGATGCAATGACTTTCAGACAAGCATTACACAAATATAGCCTTGCCAACAAGTTTGGATACAAATTCTAAAAGAATGATGGGGACAAAGTCATTATAGAGTGTGTGGCTAAAGGGTATTTGTAGAAAGTTGGAGCATATAAAGGGGCGAGGAAATAAAACTGATTCTTGTCTATTAGAAGTTTCATTAATGAACATTCACATTTTACATAAGACAACCTCATAGTATCCCATAAGACTAGAGCATATTTGACATCATCTATTTTGTTAGATGAGCTAAGGCCAAGCATTAATAAGTCTGCTAATGAAATTAGAGTAGACATGCATAGAGAATATGGTGTAAGGCTTTTATATGACCAAGCATATAGATAGAAAGAGAAAGCATTGATTGATATGCATGGTCATCTAGAGGAGTCTTACATGTTAATACCCTGGATTTGTAATAGTCTAAAGAAGAGTGAACCAGATACCATGGCTGAATAGGTTGCAGGACCAGATAATATATTTATGCAGTTGTTTATTGTGTATGGTTGTTGCATAAAAGGCTTTAATGAAGGTACGCGATCGATACTATATGTGGATAGATGTCTTTTGTTTGAATAATATAAAGGAACTTTGCTTGGTACATGTGCTTATGATGTAAATAATAGGTTGTTCCCATTAGCACATGCTATTATAAATGGGGAGACTTTTGATGAATGGTCATGGTTTCTATATAATGTAAAGAAATAACTACATCAAGGGAAACCACAATTGTTTTTTATAGACATCGTTCAATTATTGCTACTACCTTTTGCTATCGTCATGTGAAGGAGAATTTTAGCTTGAAATATTTGAAAATCATAAGGGGTAAAAGGAAGGTTGAACACACAAAAGACATTGCATTCAAGCTACTTGATGCTATCACATATGCTAGACTAAATGTTGACTTCAATGAATCAATGGGAAATTTAATTAATTTTTATCCAGAGTTGGGACTATGGCTTGAAACACATGGAGACATTAATCATTGGGCTTGGAATAAGTTCCCTTACAAGAGGTGGGACAACACAACGAACAATATTGTAGAGTCATTCAATGCATGGCTTGTTAAGGAGAGGAAGTTCCATATTCCAATGTTAATACATGAGCATAGGGAAAAATTGGCAAATAAATTGTATAAAAGCAAAATGGCTATTGGAAGTTAGAGAAATGGAGTTGGATCGAATATTAAGGCTAAGCTAATGCAAAACGTCCTACGAGCTAAAACTTTATAAGTACAACATTATGGCACTAACACATTTAGAGAGACAATTGTGTGAGGTGATGTTCATGTTAATGTTACAGTGCACGAGTGCTCTTACCTTGCTTGGAAAATGACAAGTTTGCCTTATGCCCATGTATGTGCTGCCATTAAATTAAACCATTGTAGTATATATGTATATATTGATGAGTGCTATCGAGGTAGTGCCTAAGAGAGAATGTATAGTAGGACCATGGAGCTAATAGACACACATGACATTCCTAGGCCTAATACAAGCACAATGTCAAATTTATGTTCATTAATCTTCCTCTAATCATTGTTGACCACCTGACGTCTAGGGGGGCCATGAAGTAAGAGGTTAGAGTCACAATTCTAGAACAAAAAAGTTTATCATTGTTCTAGATGCAAGGAGCCCAATCACACTCGCAAGACTTGCAAAAACCTAAATCCAGCTTAAAAAATGGGAGATCATGCTAATTTTTTTTGTTTCACATACAACTGCACTTACTTTTGTATATAGAAGTCACCCAACATGTATTTTTTAGAAATTTGGGGAGTGTAGCTTTTATAAACCAATAACCCAATATACTATTTTTTTAGAAATGGGTTAATTGTCTTCTATATATGTCTTTTGTATATGTTTGTGCAGCAATATGATATAAATGGATGAAAAATGAGAGTACTTGATGCTATGAGAGTACTTGATGCTACCATGACAAGTACCAATATGAAATTAGGTGGAATTGATGCTGTCTACATACTAATGTTAACTTGTTCTTATTATAATAAAAGTTGTATACCAAAAGTTTCATTTTATCTGCATCAATATTAGTTATATATTAGTGAATGGAGTTAAATCTACCACACAGAATAACTTGTTATTAAAATAGGATGGGGACTTATGTTTTTAGGAATGCCAACTTGTTCATCAGCCCTAGACCCTTGCACCTTTTCTTGAAAATGGAATTAAATCTATCACATGGAATAACTTGTTGTTAAAATAGGGTGGGGACTTGTGTTTTTAGGAATGATGACTTGTTCACCAGCCCTGAACCTTTGCACCTTTTCTTGAGAATGGAATTAAATATACCATATGGAATAACTTGTTAAATATAGAGGGGGAGTTGTGTTTTTATGAATGGTGTCTTATTCAGCAAATGAGGAATTAAATCTACCACATAGAATAACTTGTTAAAAAGGGAGGGGGAGTTGTGTTTTCATGAATGGTTACTCGTTCACTAGTCAAAGTCATTGTCATTTGTTTGAATACTACCAGTTATGTACATATGTTTATTTCAACTGTCCTACCTCAAAAAAGCGTATGCTATTGTCATCACTACAACATTCCACAAGTTATTATTGCTTCTTAGCATGTGCCTTGGTTTCAGAGATCAGTGAATGGACCTTTAAGGATACTTTATTGTTAAGATGATCTACTAACCCTCATATTA